AAAGCCCTAATCCATAAACCTTAAACCCTAAATCCCCAAACCCTAAGAACGCCTATCAACCCGCAAGACGGAACCCTAAACCCAAGGTCCGAACGCTGGCCCCGAACATTTTCCCCACCGGTTTCCTGGGTCCTGCTTGAGCGTCCCTAGTTGGACTTCTAGGGTTTTATTGTGTATGTAATAGGCATAGGACTGTATCTATATACCTAACTTAAATACCTGTATATCTATAATTACATGTTCCTATATTGGGAAGCCCCGCCAGCCGAGGCGGGCGCGTGCTAGCGTTTACAATTAGGGGTTCTGGGGGTGTAGGGCTAAGGGTTTCTGGAATTAGGCTTGGACTTCGAAGCGATTTGGATTCCACATTTTTCATATTTTGCGTTCAGGACCTATAAAGGTTCGGGATGTGACTACGATTGCGCATTAGGACTTTATCATACTACCCCGCACCACCATACACTACCCCCCTGCATGTTTTCCTTTAGATATCTCGAATTGAGGGGGATTTACCCTTACATAATCCCTGCCAAAAACCTCAAACCCTAACCCTGAAACCCTAAACCCTAAACCCTAAAACCCTAAACCTAGACCCTTGTTCGGAGCTCACGGTCTGGGATGCCTCTGGTTTGAAGACGTCCTTCTCGTCTATCTGATGTCCTCCGGACACACCTAGCCAGGTAAGTCTGGGTTTTCAGAGGACATTGTAAGTTTTTTTTAAGCATGCCTTTTCCCAGGGGAGTTTATATGTATATATATATATACATATATATTGTTTTTCTTAGCGCTCCGTTTCTGCAAGACAACAAAGATCCTTCCAGATCGAGTGACTACCCACAAACGCCTTCAAAGTGCCAAATGCACCATGCCAGCACTCCACGTTGTAGGTTTAAGGCTTTAGGGTTCAAGGTGTAGGGTTTAGTGTTACACCTCCAAAACAACAAAACGCCAATTCCGTAACCTAAGCTCTGAACACTCAAGACCTCGAGGGTTTAAGGCCTTCGCAGTGCATACTAGAAGTGCAAAAAAAAGAGAGCTTTCATGGGAGGCCCATATGAGGCCTCTTACGCTTGTCCTGTGGACATACCTATTTTCGAGCTGGGGGAATGAATTGCAAACTGAATTTGTTCCCGGACAAACCGTAGATAATTACAGTACGATGTACCCCAAAGCGATATTCAAGTCATTAAGGATTATCATCGTCTTGGCTGGTAAAAGTTCATGCGGTAAAGACGTTTCGGGCTTCAGCTTTAACAAATTAGATGCTCTGCTGCAGGAGGACTGTCGTGAGGGTGAGGTCATAATATTCTGAGCACATATCCACCCTAAACTCTAAACCCTAGAGCCCACCTAGCCCGCCCCCCGTGATCTGTTGAGAGTGTCTTGCATCCGTCTCGTATGAGGACCAAACCATTTTGGAGGTACGTAAGGTATAGCGGCGATCTACAACCCCTGTAGAACTGTACAACCCTGTACAATCTCTATATACGCCATCTAATCCTATAGAATCCTTCTATAATGCTACATAATATAACCCCTATCTAATGTTATATAATCCTATCTAATGCCTAGACAACTAGTATAGCCCCTACACTAACCTTAGGGCGGTTCATGGCAAACCTACAACCTGAACCGCATCCTCGCCGAAACCAACGACGTGATGTAGCCTCCTTTTTACTTTTTACAAGGCCCATAATCCCCTCCCCTCAATATTAAATCACCCCACCACCCACCAAAATGTACCACATAATGGGAGTATTTAATATTGCGGGGGGTGGGGGCTTTAATAGTAGGGGGAAGGGATCCATCTTTATAGGGCCCATTCTGGTTCCACGTAGTTTGAGTTCCATTTAAGTTTGGTGGAAGGGGTAGTTTCTGAGCAAAAGCCTCGCAAGACTTTGACCGCCGTCCAGACGAGCTGAATAGGTGCTAACCACCAGTTGGCCACGAATGGCAGCACTGAAAGTGCGTTCCTGGATGCGTTTGGAGCTTCAGGCGAGGAGTGTAGGAGTTCTTTTATATAGTTCGAAATCTACTGGGACATCTGGGCTATGCCTCTTTAACGGACTTGTAATCTCCCTGCGAAGATACAGCTCGGTCCAAAAATGGCCAAGCTTCAGCACGAGGAAGGCTAACTCGATTCTATGCGCTTGATTGTAGACCTTCCAGGGGGTGTGCTGGGAAGGGTTTATAATAGGGTTATATTGGGATAATGGAAAAGAAAATGGAAACTACTATAATGGAAGAACATTGGGATAATATCTCAGTTCAACTTGGGGGTTCAGAGTTAAGGGCATAGGGGAGACTACCTAGGAAAGCGCGTCAGGGCCCAAACGAAGTGACTTTGCCTCGAGCAAGAAGAAAAAACAAGTTCCCCGCCATTTCACACAAAAAGGCCCCCCTAAACCCTAAACTCTAAATCCTAAACCCCAGATCACCTTATGGAGTCCAAATATAGTGTTTTCCCTATTGCCCTATATCACCCTATATCCTATAACTAAGAAGTTTAGACTGTAGCTTATATAGGGGTTTGGGGGTTTAGGGATCTACTCCCAGCGCAGCAACCCCAGAGCCTTGAAGAAGTCCACGGAATTAATGAGATCCTCGGCTTACTGGGGGTTCGTAAGGCATAATTCAGGGACTATCCTCCCTTTATAATGGGGTTTATGGTTTAGGGCTTAGGGCACAGAATCCCGATACACGGCTTTTCGTGTTTCTGGTGAGGTCCTCGAACAAGGAGCTTTTTGGGCCCATACATATATCTATGTAAGTGTGTATATATATATATACGTGCTATAGAATGCACAATATATGTATATGTATATATAGTCCCCGTTAAGTAGATAGAATATGGCTTTGGGTGTATTATAATAAGTTCCCCATATACCCCATATTCTATCTACTAAAGGGGGACTATGCAGAATGTACGTGTGCATGCATAATACTTCTCTTATGCCATTGTAGGAGCATGGCAAAGGAATTCTGGGGGTCCCAACAGTGATGGCTGGCAAGCTGCCTTACAGCTGTGTTTGAAGTTAGGGGTACCATTTTGGGATAATGGAAAATAAAATGGAAACTTTTTTACTGGGTTGTATACAGGTTATATAGGGGTATATTAGGGTTCATATTACGGCTTAGGGTTTGGGGTTTCCCAAAATTAGGGGTACCTTTTTTGGCAGTCCGCGTAATAAGGGGCTATAGTGTTTTGGGTTCTATATTGGGGTCCCTGATTTTGGGAAACTGCCAAATGTTATTATGCAAAGTCCTGCGTTTCTTGCAGAAGGCATTTTCGCTAAATCAGATGTAGCGTCATTCAACATTATGATGCCTCATGCTCTGGGTACAGCTGGGACGCGGCCAGCTCATGGGCAATCTTAAGCGGACAAAGCGCTATAGCATTGGCAGCACTGAGGATCTGAATGGGCACGAATTTGAGTGAGGCATCTCGAATTGTCATTCAGATTGCATGAGTCGCAGTATTTGCAGGCATGAAATCCTGCAAGCAACCCCTTGGACCTAGAAGTCTGCAACCTGGACCCACAAGCCCCGTCATTCCACTGAGTCCGCGGCATATTCCAAGTCTGCAATGGCCTTTAAGGAGTATGCACATGATCCCAGTAGGCCGGTCATTGCAAAGAGCAATGTCATGGAGTCGATGGTCGCGAAAACCGTGAAGAACACCATGGCTGTCCTAAGTCCTAAGAGGTGTGGCTCTCCTGGCCCTCAGGTACTTGGGCACAGCTACCCTACGTCCCTGCTGGAGCCAAAGACAAGGAGTTGTGAGATTCTGGGCACTCCAACCATCACCTCAGTTCTTGGGCCTGTACAGAGGGTTACAGAGCGTTTTTGGTTTAGGATGTAGGGATATTACGGATATTACCCCAATAATGGAGACGCACATGGGAGGAAAATGGAACATTAAGTGGAAATTGGGCTTGCATAGGCCGTTTACAGGCTTTGTGTACTGATTCACTTATTCTGGTTTGCAGGGAATGAATGACCGGAAAAACTGGAAACTCCATCACTGAGGCTTGTGTAGGAATTACTCCCCTCCTCTAATATTGGAATTCCCCCCCCTCGATATTCAATACTCCCTATATTATATACTGTAGAACACGACAGTAGGAATGTTGAATATTAGAGGGGGTGCGGGTGTTTAATATTAGGGGGAGAGGATTACCATTCCTCCGTTCCTTGCTGAGGAGAGGTAAGAATCTCCCAAGTGCAGGATAGGACTCTGGAATTACCTTAATATACTATAACATACTGCAATATTATTACGTACTATTATATAATAAACCCACATGGTTGAAACTTGGTTCAATTGTAAGCTGCGGGCCCCTAAGCCCTAAACTTCTGGGAAGCTTAGTCTGAAAGGAAAACACACCCCTGAGTAAATTTGCGGTTTACAGCGGCTTGCAAGGTCCTTGCTGTATTCCTAGGAAATGTGAGCCTTCCGTACTTTTAAATAAATCTGCCCTATTGCATTGGTCGTGACCTAAACCCCAAACCCACCCCTGAGCCATGTGCTGTCAGCTCACTGCAGACCCTAGGTAGTCAGGAAGCAGATCATGCCTATCATCCAGGCCGCTCTCTCTTACAAAAGCAAAGCCCTCAGCTTGTTCAGAAAATCTGGAACCCAACACCTGTAACTTCTGGCCTCAAGCACCATCAAAGCCACATCTTTTTCCACGCATGTGTAGGGATTGGTGCGATGTTCTTTCAGTTTCTGCATAATTTTGGCTTTAGTTGGGGGGCACAATGGATCTATTGCGCGAAGACGTCGACACTACCCTTTCCCAGAACGGCTGAAGACTTTCTCCCTCTGTCTTGAGCAAGCCCGAAAATGTTTTGCTAGTAGCATAACCCTGAAACCCAAGCGCAGTGACATGGAAGCCGCTCAGCTGCCGGCAAGGGAAGGCTGCAAATGGCATTCTTTTGCCTGCGCAGGGTTAGGGTTGCATGCACTGCTAACCCGTCTCCACATGCATTACCTTGGCTCAAGAGGCCCTTCATTTTTCTAGGGGCCTGAGTTGTATAGACCCCTCATTCAAGAGGTTTTGGCCGGACGCTCTTTGGCAGGAACCTTGTGGAATTTCTCAAAATCATCCCTATAGAGCCCCCAATGAGGACCCCCATGATCCACCTGTAACCTCTATATATCACCTAAGGGCCCTCTACGTTGTGAACTCCCCTTATGGGGCGTGGTGCTCCGCAAGAGCTCCCTGGGGCCATGCGGCTCACATGTACAAAGCCTCCATGGGTGCCCTACCCCTGACTCCTAAACCCAAATTAGTAGCCTCATTCCCAAGGAAAAAAAGGTATACCCAAGGCACAAGATATTCAGGACCACGCAAATTTGTTAGCCTCACCACTACGGGCTGGTACAAAAGAGCACTAGGGCCCTAGAAGAGAGCCCAAGATTTTAGTATCCTGGCCAGTGCAGATTTTGGAGCAAGGCTTGAGACAAGATGGCTTTGATCTTCCCCTGCCACCATGTAGCAGGTCCTTGCCCATGTCGAGGTTTAGTAAACAAAGCAGGCCACCGAACAGAATCCACCATATGTTATTGCTGAGCATTTCCTGAGAAAGAGATTTTCAATAAGCACTTGGTAATGTAGAAGGTTGTAGAAGCCTCAATGATTACCAATATCATGTTTGAGGTCTATTTGAAGTAAGCTTATGTAGACCCGTGATTAATACACCCCCTCCCCTCTTTAGGCCCTTAAAAGGAGGGGGGTTGTTAACCATGGGTCTAGATTATACCAGACCTCTATGAGGAACCGAGGATCATCCTATCAGTCTACCGCAGTCTTCCTGCGACGTCTCCCTGATTCACGGAAAGCCTTTGATGCTCAGAGTTTTTGGCACTGAAAATCGGAACTTGTAACGCTCCACGAGCTACATGCGCGTTTCCCAGATTAGGGGTCCCCAAAAGCCTTTTGGGGTCCTTGTACAAAGGGATTATAGCATTGGGGGTCTGCACTGTTTCCCCCGAGTTCAAGGCTACATAGGGCTTCGACATTCGTAGTTCCCTTTTTGGGATCCCATTAGTAAGGGCTGGAACATTTCGCAGCAAACACAAGCTGGCGATTCCTGGGCTGTTTGCAGAGAAACTCTTATGCGTAACTCCCAAAATTAGGGTCCCATTTTGGTACTCCTAAGTATAAGGTGCCGTAGTATAATCTACAAGCAAGAGGGGCCCATAAATTTGAAAACAACTGGGCGCATGGCGCTGTAAAATACACACACGGGCTTAGGTTTTTTCCCTCCCGCCTGTCTCTTACGCATGCAGGGCAAACAAATGTCCGCTTTAGGGTTTAACGTTTAGGGTTAAGGGATCCGGGAGACCCGCAGGTTTAGAAACCCCCACTAAACTTCGCAAATACCTCGAACATCAGACAGCCGGTAGACCTTCATGAAGGGGGGAGCGGTCATGTAAACAAGTGCTACGGGTGTTTTGCAGCATCCTCGTCTCAGGGCGAACTACGATGTGTTTGTCAGAACCCCTCCAATAATCCTCCAGTCAGACTGATTCCTTAATTACACTAGAATAGGTATCCTACTTTGATTTGAGGGTTGGAGGTTCTGGGACCATCATAATTGCTGCTCAAGTTCTTGCGGTTATGAACTGCGCAGGCACTGCTTGGCATAGATGTGGTGTAGAGTCCAGGATGTACGGTTTGGAGCTTTGGCTCAGAGTAAAAAATCCTCAGCCCTAAACCCCGGTTTGGAGTTTACAAGGGTAGTCAACCCTAGTCAATGGTAAAACGCCATGGTAATGATAGTAGTAAATATAATTTTAGGAAGGGCTAGTGGCATTTGAGGCTGAACATCAAAATCCTATAATGGAAGCTGAAAAGCCTGTTATCTGGAACCACAGCTTTTAGCCTGAGGAAAAAACAGTTCTAATGATATGGGCCTGAACTCATGCCGGCAACTCCCTCGAATGCGCTGCTCTACTTCATGCGCTATTCTACACATGAGACATCGCTGCATCGCCCGCCCCTTCCAAATCTGAAAATATTTTGCCACCCGTAAAACCGAAGTCCAGTTCAAACATTGGTCGAAATCAGGGTGCCGCAGTCCCCTATAGACCGCCACGCGCGAGCCATGGCCTATCAATTTGAGCTACAGTCTTAACTCCCAGTATCTCCCTTAATAACCTCTATAATACTCCCCTATATAAACCCCTTCAAGGAGTTCAGATTACAGCTCAATTTGGAAAAGCCCCAACAGTACCCCAGAACGAGGCCTGGCAGAAAGTCCTCCTCGGCCCTCGGGTAGCTCGGTGATTGCCCTGCCTTTGGGTTTCGGTTGAAGGTTGCAACCGTGGGCCCCTAGTATGGGCCCTTAACCCCGGGATCCTTTATGTACCTACAATATACCCTATATGTACCCTTAAGGGTCTTTAACCTTAGATTCAGAATTCTAGAAATTTCGTTTCAGAGGATAGGGAAGAGGGTCTTCAGGATTCTAGCCATCAGGGGGCTAATAACCAGATGTGTGTTGGTCTGAAGGAGCTGCCTATAGCATGACTGATGCGCTTGCCTTTATAGTTGTGGCTAACCCGTGCTGGTGGGTCAGCTATCTGCGAGGCATGGTTGTGCAGACTACTATATAGTATATTGGGGTTATATAAGGATAATGGAAACTACTATATGATAATAGTGGGTTATATAGAGTATTTTGCATGCCAGATGTGGTTGGGAGGGGGTGCTGGAAAAACACTTCAAAAGTCGAACTGTGACAGCGGGCCAATGTTCAAGAAAGCCATTTTCTGCTGTGGGGGCTTGCGGCCCGTGGGTGCGGACTGCCGGCTAGAGGCTTGAGGGTGTCTTCACATCATGTGGGCATCCATTTTGCGAAGACCTTCTTCCTGGCATGACAATTCATCAGAATTTCAAGCTATTTGAGAACCATCATATAGGGGAGCAATTTGCTCCAAGCCCGTCCTGCAATGATTGGGTACTGGTTCTCAATGGTCGGGCCGTTAGGCCCTGGCCCTCAATGCACAGCCCCCCGAAGATAGTCTCCTGGCCTAATTTAGAGACCTTGCTTTTGTTTGGCGCTGAGTGCAAGGCAGCTTGCAACTGCCCGGTTGCGGAGAGTCACCTCATCCTCCTGCAGATGGATGTGTTCTGACAAACATTCAACACTAATCTGCCGACCCCGTCCTGAGGGGGCGAGCGCACATTGAAGCCGTATGACCCCTCTCTTTACCCCACCAGCTCGTCCCCGTATCTTCCCCCCGCCACGATCAATCCAAACCCCACCTTGCACCCGCCCATCAAACTTCTCAACCTCCTGCCTCTCCCGCTCCCCACCCCGCCCGCCCACCCCTATCCAACCCCCCTGAACCCCATCTCAATCCCCCGATCCCTCCACGGATTTTGAATTTCCCTTTTTGTCCTGAAGTCACAATTGTTCATACAAGGGAGGCCTTGCAGGAAGAACTTGAACTCACGAGGCAATCATGTCTGAGAAGGCCTGTGATGCAGTTGGCATGACTTGGCACGCGAGCTGCCTTGCTGAATGATCGGCTTTAGGTGGACTACAGTATATCACAGTATATGATAATACGATAGTAGTCTATGGGATATGACGGTATATTGTTTAGTTTAGGAGGACTCCCGCTCTGCAATAGTGGCTTGATAGGAAAAGAAAAGGATCCGAATATCATC